GATTAGTAGAAATTAATACTATAAGGTAGAGAAAAAGAAAAATAGCTGTATTTGATCAATAGAATTAGAAGTAACTGAAACGTAAAAATGAGAAAGTATTTAATTAAAAATTTCTTTTTTAGTTGCATTAGTGTTGTGCACAGATCTTCTGGTATTCGGTTGAACAGATAGATAACCATGTAGCTCAATGTCTTTTTCTCGAATTTATTGTTAAATGAAGGTTCGAAGTACTTAGTTTTGTTTCTGACGTTTTTATATCGTTTTTAAATAAATCATCATGCTTGAATTTGAGTGCTATTTTGTATATATAAAATACATTTGGTATAAGTTCTATTCTGTAATTTAGAGAGTTTTGATAAATGAATAGCTGCACTGGCTCCATTGCATTCAATTCCGTATCTTAATATTGATTCAAAGAATACTATACCTTATTATTAACGATTCTTTATGAAATGAAAATTGTAGACAATAAATTTTGTACTAACATTTAATCTTCCTAATATAATCGTAAGATGGGTTTCAAAGGAAAAGTTATTGTCTACAGTAACACTTAAATATTTTAGTTTATTAACAACCTTTAAAATTTTACAAGAACATGAGTTTTTTTCAAGATTATTGCTAAGACAAGTGCAACTTTTTCTCCACTTTCTGAAAATGAGATATGACTTTGTTATGAAGCCACTCAATAATTTAATACAATTCATTTTTCAATTAAAATAATAATAATAAAAGTATGTGCAGTTACTTTAACTTTCCGTCAAAAAGGAATACTTTTATGAAACTCAATGAAGAATGGTCCACATCCAATTTGAATCCAGAGTCAACTTGATCTTTCTTTTCCTAAAAAAATGGAGTTAAAGTATAGATTTATTATCGAGTAAGTAAGGAAAGTAACGGGACTTTTGTTTTATAGAAGAGTCAATAAAGTTAATCAAATTGATAAAATCATTTTTCATTGAGTTTCATAAAATTATTCCTTTTTGACGGAAGTTAGAGGAAGAATTTACTACCCTTAGTGTTAAAAAAAGAAATTAGAACTTAAGCTTTTCAGAGTTAATTGTCTTGGTTTATATCCGCCATTTTATGGTTGAATTGTACTTTCATTGAACAGTAAATAAGTATAACAATAAAATACTGATGGCTCTAGTCATTTCTATGAATATAAATTATATGAATCGAAACCGACCGAACAAATTACAGTTTTGGCCTCGAATCAAGCCTTAAATATGGGCCGAAATGTCGGCACACATTCATTGTAGCTAACCGAATTTTCTGGGGACCATTAGGTGCATGGAGAATATAAAACATGTCCTATTTTAGTTACCCTCAAATAGATAAATTTAAAAACATATTTAAATTTCAATAATAATCAAAGGTTTTTATACCACTTATTATTACTTTGGAATGAGACCGTCCATGTTCACCATTAAATTATGCCAGTTCTTGATTTCCAACTCTTGTAGAAACAGCTTTATAAGCGCCTGAAAGTAACACCAATAGCTTCTCGGAATCAATTTTGACCGAAATTCGTAAGTAGTTGTGGAATCACTGTATAATCCTTTAGATTCAAAACTTATATGTTTTATATATATAAGGAGTGTGGTAGCTCAGTGTTGGGGTACTAATACCAATGCTAAAGGTCCCAGGTTCGAATTCCGGCTCATGGATCATCGCAGGAAAATTATTTATTCTGTTTCATTGGCTGTGGTTTGTAGACTGTACTGGAGCACACCCAGCCTCTATAAAGTGGGCTCCCTAATGAGAAAAACCTGACATTGAGCGTGATCTCGGTCAAATCACCTCCTTGCACAACCGTATACCAAGAAACAGCGCTTTCCCTAAATAGTACTGAATTCAAGACCCATAATGGGTTGTAGTGGTACAGGTTTTATGATATAATCTTTTTTATGGTGTTACAATTTTAGACAAAAGTTTAATTTGCCAGAGCTATTTTCCGAAATGCTTTGCACTTTTTTTTTTGCGTTATTTTATTTGTTGAAAAATGGTGACTACAAAATGAGCGTAAGTGTTGGCATTCCCTCACACATGTGACTGTTTATGTAAGAATAAAAAAAAAGCTAGTAGAGGAATTCAGTAGCGAAGCCTTAGAGGAACAGGATACAAGGCAGCCAGGACGTCTTGGACCAAGGTTAGCTAATTAGATCGCTATTGGGTAATGAGAGCTATGCTAATAGGTGAGGTCTGCGCTACCAGCAACAGTCCTTCCTCAATCCAAGCCATTATCTCCACCGCGTTCATGAAAAACATATTCCCACCTCGAGCGGCAAGACATTCCGGAGGGGAGTTGCTCAAGAGGGCAAGATGGTTGAGGTTTCGCCACGACTTGGCAATACCCGGCGATATTTATGACGCGGGCCCGCCCTGGTGGACAACACCTGCTTGTAGGATCCATTGTCTTGCGTGGCACCATTCTTGTTCAGCTCGCATCTGTCACATCATTCAAACCCTAACTGCTCATTACATTCTTCCCGGGTTGGCTAATTATAGGCCTCTCCAATTATCATCTAACTGGCTTCGTATTGTATCTGTGGGATTTAAATACTGCCTCTCCGGCTATCCCCAATCATCCTTCATGATTAATCCTGAATTTTTAATTGTCTTAATTTGTTAAGTGTGTTAGCACAATAGCAATTTTCTTATTTGGCTACGAATCCTACATTCCAGATACCTTTTTTGACTTACTTGAAATATTTTGTTTGCGCGAATAGCTTTTTGAAAGTTTCAGCATTAGTAAATGGATGAATTCAAAAGAAAGGAACTCGAGAAATATAACGATTGTCAACTCCACAGAAGCTGTAAAAATTTATGTAGGAGTAGAAAACAGTCAGAAAAATTCTAATCTAAGTCTCCATAAATGTTTAAAGTGAATATGAAATACTAGTACAAATAAACCAATATTCAAAAAAGCAATGAGATTTAATAAATAAGAAATTACAGAATACCGACAAATCGTAAATAATTTTTACTTAAAACTATGAGGTTTACATTTATATCAAACAGAGCTTGACCATCGATAAGTAATAATTAAAAATAAAGACAATTGTGATTTATAAGTTATCACGTTAAACATGATCTGCTTGTACCCTTCTGATGTGACTTGAAAGATGTTAACACTTATAATCTTATTTTTTTTAGTTCACACATAATGTAGTACAACTTTACAAAATACTTTGCTGAATATTATGAAATAACAGATAACTGATTGAAAACACTCTGTTGTTATGTCACCAGTTTGGCCCCTTTTCAATGTTCATGTCCGTTAAATAAGTTGCGCTAACTGATTCTTTGCCTTTCATCGTTAAGGAAGACAGTGCCATCTCACGATGTATGTACTGGATTGTTCCAACTGCGGTACTCATCCAAATGAGCCCGACAATTTCATTTATTATTTTAAGAAAAAAGTTTGTGTTCCAACCAGTTTTTGAATCGAGGTCGTGCAATGGAATCTAGGCCCCGCCCACTTTGTTTTTCACTACCTCACAACTTTGTTTATGTTAAGTCTGTTGCTGCACGATTTGGACCATCAGTTGTTTAATATAGTTTTCCGTTCCAGATGCATGCAGGGTACAGGTTTTGGAGCGGAAAAGCTGTTTTCCACGTGCACTTGAATTCTGCATGCTAGTAATCTAAACTCGTGTCGGGACAAACCTATTATACAGTCATATTTGCATGCTATTAAAGAGATATTTAATTGTCTGTTTTAAATAGCACGTGTCCTTTAGAATAATATATAATCATCCATCACTTTTCAATATGTTCCCTTTTAAATTAACTTAATTTAAACAATTTATCATTTTGATTATTCTAATTTAGATATTTTAAGCTATACGAGGTTTGTCCCGGGCCAAGGGATAAAGGCGACAGAGTTAAAAGCTCCTTCAGCACCAGGACATGAACTCGTAGTAATGTTATTATCAAACTTTGGTTTATCTGGTTGCCGGTAACGCGAATTTTACACACTCGTTAGCCCGCTCGGCTACCACGTCTCTTTGCTGTTCATTCTATTGAGCCTGTTGAATATTAATTTGTATATTAATTTTAGTAGTATATCAATTTAAAATCATGTTGTTTTCATGAACATTTGCTTTTAGTGAGTATTTCTTTTCCTGTCATTCAGTTAATTTAATATATATTCCTTATTTCACCATTATGAAATATTGTAGAAAAATAACAAACGCTTTCTTATCTGAAACTTTTCAATTATATTTTGTTGATAATGAACCGACCGACGGATCTCTTTCATCTCCATGAGTTATGAATATTTCTCTCAGTATTCTATAATTGATTTCTTCGCCGAAAGTTATTTTCGTAAAAGCTCTTCCGAGGATCATCAAACGAGTGAAAAGATAAAATTGCTTTCCAGTCCAATCAATCTTTCAGAATGGCCTGAAGAGAGATAGGTAATTAAAAACTGTAAATTAGCAGTTGTGGATATTGGGCGTGTAGGTTGTATTGGTATTGCTAGTTGGATTTTCCCCTCCCCTTCCTAAATTTATGGAAATTAGATTTGGCTTTTTCTCCCACTATCGACTTGCAGATTTCTTAATCTGATAATTCTTGCGAACATGATGAACGGTTCTTAAACAGGTTAGCTGTCTACTGTTCCGGCAGATTGCTCCATCATCTTGCGCAAGGGAGATTTCGAAAATTTAACTACGCCGACGTTCGACATTCATATTGCCTTTCTTGGGATTAAGGTATTTCTTATTTTACAGCGATAACTTTCCCGCCGAACGGACAGGTTTCAAAACGTATCATTCGTAAATCCTACAGGAAGTATAGAGTTGATTATCATGTATTTTATTGATCGTTGATTTTAAGGCATTATGTAAATAAGTACAATAACTTTTTATTATTTCTGAATAGATGATTATATGAAAACACATCCACATTTTAAGAAATAAAGTTAGCTTTTCATACGCCTTCGCGAATTGCCTCACTAACTTATTCGTGCAATCCCATCAATAGCCAGTTAGTTGCTAGAATGAAGATCCGTCCTTGAGAAGATTGTGAAGAATTTCAATTACAGAAAGCTGAGCCATTGAGGTATGCCCTGGTTTGGCCGACAAGATGACGCAAAAGGTGCAGGAATGCTCGTCCCTGAGTGGCGACCTCCTACCGGCTCGAGAGTTAAGAACATGTAACTCTCTCTGAGTTTAAATGTTACCTATTGCGAAATTAAGGAAGGAAGACAGACATTCGTCCATGGCCCACCTTAAGAACATCGACAGCTCTTAGCTTCAATAAAACATTTGCTATCGTCTAATGGTAGGAGGATGTATTACATATCCTACTGCAGAAACATGATTGCCATTTTGTAACTGATAAGAGGTTGTATGTTACCATCATTTATATCAATCATATTCCAATCTCCGAAATATGCGACACTTACTTAAACCTTTGTTTGTGTTAATATCGTGTTCTTATAAATTCGAACTCAAACCTGCTGAAGGTAATGTGTTGTAATAAGCGAACCATTTACTCTGAAAGTCGTTATACTGATGAATTTACTGTTTTTTTTTTTGTTTTTTTTTTTTTTTTTGTTAACCCTTAATGATGCTATATTGTTATTCTAAGATAACTTACTATTGTGTCCTAAGGGGCCGTTTTTTAAATACTTTATGTCACTAGCGGATCCAAGATTTATTTTGGGGGAGGCTTCAGCCCGGAAGCTTTTTTTCATAAAAATAACGATAATTACGTTGGAAAAACAGAAAGATACAAACTACCTATATGAAATGGTGTTTAAGTGATTCTTGAAGCCCTGCTAAATGTAATTAAACGAGCAATAATACTTTAAGACATATTTTTTTTACCATAAAACATGGTTACATTTTACCATTTTGGGGGGGCTTCAGCCCGAAAGCCCCCCCCCGTAAATCCGCCTGTGCTTTATGTAGTAGTTTTGGCCATTATTTTATGCGAAAATCCTTGCTATTTTAGTGTTTGGAAAGAGGTTCTTAAATACTTTCATTTGTGTAAGTCGTTTAAAACTTTGACAAATTTCTTAACCATAACTCTCCTAAGTATCATATCGTTATTTTCATTTATATCCCATTTATTTTCTTATGAATAAAGAGTCACATCTTTTGAATTTCCTTTTGTACAGTATCTTATCGAGCGCTGAGTAAAAAAAAAACAGTATTTCATGTTTGTACATTGCGCATTCATGTTCGTTGCCAAAACAAATAAAATAATTTTAAAAAGGAAATTTTGAAAAAAATGGGGGAGAAATCCTTTCAGTAATTTGATAGCAGAGATGCTGAAAGGAGTCTATTTTTATTAAGTTACTAAAAATACTCCTTTTTTCGGATCGTTCAAGTGGAGTTCTAGGAGCGACAATACATATCACCTTGAGTGTTCCAGGATTTTCTTTTATTCGTCCTGATCATTTGCTATGAATTTGCTTGATTTACTTGATTCGCGTTAATTTTGTTATTATTGAAGGAGTAGGTTTCTCGGCCATTTTCTTTTTAATCTGCATCGAGCAGGTAATAGAGAGAAGGGAATTCAAAGAACTAGTGGGTTGAACTGATTTTGAGTTCAAGAATGAAATGTAGTGTATTTGTCGTGGATGTAGGATTTAACTGTTGTAATGTTTAAGACGTTATGTAGAGGGGTATTTAAAATATAATAAGTTTTCGTAGAATTTTTTATTTTGTTTATGTGTGTTTTGCCGAATCACAAAGTGCTGCTGCGTATGCCCAAATTGGTCTCAGTTAAGTGTTGTAGATAAGTCGGTTGTTTCGTAAGTGAGGATCTGTAGTATAAAAGATGTGAGAGTTGCGTTATATCATTTTGTCAGATCTTGTCTTTTTCATTTCGTATGTATGTTCCAAATACGTTTTTAGTCTAAGTAGAGATCGAGGTATGGTACATAGCTTTTTTAAGGTACTGGATTATTGTCAATGGTTATAATAGGTGGGAATGAGACTTTTTTAAGAGAGAAACTACGAGAAACCTGAATATTAGACCGAATATTATTAACCAACAGTTTTGCACGTGTTTCAGAAGTAAAGTTATATTTCTTTTGTGTTATAAACAACCGTGGCGTAAGTAGGCTTAACGAAATATCGCTTGCTCGACTAGGATCGATTGTTTCGCTGGGATAAGCTGACACTTGAGATATATCTCTGTTGACGTGATATGTTCACGTAGCCGTGTTATAAATGAGCGCCATAAGGTAAGTCCTCAGGAACGTGGGCAGTATGAGCTACAGAAACGTCGGATGTCCTAATTACGGCATATTTTTATAGACATATTGCTGTCGTAACTAGGGAACCGGTAGTCTTAGTCCAGCCTGACTCACTTGCATCTGGAGCATGACTCACTCTTGCCGTGACGTCGACGTTACCTACGTTCATTGAGCCGGCTAAGACCGTCCTACGCTAAATGCTTTAGATCTTGTTCTCTCATTCTGCCGCCCTAATTCACTTCCTATAAATGTTCGCATTATCCTTCTCTTTAGCATATGTAGCTCCTCAAGCTTAAGTGGACTTGTCATCGTGATCCAGTCTAGCGACGACGCGGAAACCGCACCTGACATGTTATTTTATGCTAAGCTAATTACTAAATTGGTGTAGTAGTAAGTAAAAAAGAAAGACGTTAGCAGAAGTAAAAACTATTGTTATTTTTTAACTTACTAAAGACTTATTCAGTAATGTCAATCAATTTTAGTGCAAGAGAATGTATGTGTACAAGGAAGGCAAAATATAACCCAAAGCACAGACGGACCTACCGGAGGGAGACGAGGGACTTTCAGGCTGAAACTCCTCCCCCCAAAATGGTAAAATGTAACCATGTTTAATGGAAAAAAATTAAGAATCATTTGAACACCTTATCATATAGATAGTTAGTATATTTCTTGTTTTTTCCAAAGTAATTATCGTTTATATATATATATATATATATATATATATATATATATATATATAAACTTTCGGGCTAAAGCCCTCCCTCCCCAAAAAAATAAATCCTGGATTCGCTAGTGACCCAAACCGATAAGGTAATAATTCTCTTATATTAGCTAAATTCCTTACTAGATATTGTTCATATTTCATAAATCAGAGAGTCTGATCCTAAAGATTTTTTAGTTTCGCGTAAGGAAAAGATTTTCAAAGTTAAGACAACATTCAAGATGTCGACATTCTTAAATCAATGTTATTATATTTAGATTAATGGCACCACTGATGACCTGACTCAACAACCCATTTTTTATAACCAAACTCCAGTTAATAGCATTATCTAATACCCTCCTTACGAGCTATACGGTTTTAGGAACTAAAACTCGAAAATCTTTAGGTTTCGGCCAGGTCCATCGTGAGTGAAGCTTATGACAATAGTTGCGTTTTAGTAAACTGATTGAGATATCGATTGTATGAAGATATCATGACAAATCAGAACATATAACATTTACACTTCGAGAGACACATGCCCATCAGTTCATATCGGCGACAACCAAATTCCATAGAGGGGCACTGTACGTTATCTCGGGTTAATATTTGACAGAAGGATGACTTGGGGCAAACATGTCAAAATGAAACGAAAGGCTTTAAACAAGCGACTGAAAATACTGTACTCACTTTTTTCTAAATCAAAATTGAAAATTAGACAAAAACTTAATACATACACTTACCTACTCAAACGAGGTACGTAAACAACAAAACATTACATAACGACTTACGGCAACCAACTATCGACCAACACATACGTGATCTGTACATCAGATTTCGTCTTAAACTACACGGACATCACAATGGACTTATTAACGACATGGCCACAGCTGACATGCTTATCAGGAGACAACTAAGGAGGAGCTGGATGAGAGACCTCCTTTCTTGAATTAAGGAAATAAATTAAGACCAGGAAGAAGTGCTGCTGGGTGCTATATTTTCTTCATGCCTAAAATGTCAATTTTTTTTTATTAGTTACAGCACATCTGCTTATTGTCAAGCTCATGACAGGTGTGGATGGAAATATGAAGAAAAAAAATTACACTTAAATAAAGTAAAATAACAGGAGAAATTTAGAGACTATAGATAGACTCAGATTTGTTTCGTTTGTCAAGAAGGGAAGGATAAGATGGTTGGGACATGTACATCGAATGGATCAGAAAAGACTCCCAAATAACGATAATAGAGGAACGTCCGGATGGTAAAGGGAGAAGAGATAGACCCAGACTGCGGTGATTAAAAGATGTCGAGGCTAACCTACAGCTTCTAGGTGTGACAGAATAGCTAAAAAGGGCCGTTTCGAGTGGAGGAGAATTGTTAAGGAAGCCAAGGCCCTTCATAGACCATAGCCCTGTCAGAGTTAGTTAGTTAAAGTGAAGTAAGGTGTAATAAAAATGGAAATGGATTGAACAGAGAATGCAATTCGGTATAACGCAAGAATTCCATTTAAACCATTTAGTGACTTTTTTATTAAAGAGAGCAATTATTGAGAAATAAAGATAAAAATAAAAAAACACATCCAGTAGTGGAATACATTTTTTGTATCTTGTCCTCATTTTCCGTGTAAGGAATAAAGTAAGATACGGCAGGGTTGTTTGCATTATATTAATGTTGAAAGGCTACTTGAATTTCTGAAAGCCGGAAGAATATCGATTAATTAGATATAACCCATCCCACGAACAATGGAATGTGGTATTTCGTGGGACATTTAGATATGAAAGTCAATCTTACTTGAATATGATATTTTAAAATATCTTTATGAGTATTTCAATTTTTTTTTTAGTGTACTTAATCGTATACAGGGGTGCTCAAAAGGCGGAACTTCAGAACTTTTTTTATTTGTGATTCTTCATATTTTAAATCTTAGAAGCTCTTGACTCGTTCATCTTAGACTGATTGTTTTCAAAGCATTGTCTTCTTTGATTGACTGATGACCTTAGCGAGTGTATTCTATGCTTCCTGATCTTCCGCCTGCTGGATATGGTTATATATACCAGCGGCGGCGGTGGGTAAATAGCAGCTGGATGTTGGTTCGCCTAGTAGACCTTTTTTGGCCGACTGTGATATTGTTGCGGAGGCTGGTCCTTGCAGCTCCTTATAAAGCGCTCGAGCTCGCGCCCACTGGAGCGCGGCTGCTCCTCTTGGCTATAATCGCTCCATTATAGTCCTCCTTAGTGGGATCTCATCCTCTCTTTATCTTATCCTTCATCTCTTTATTTGCTCATTTTTTGTCACGAAGGATCTTCGACCATTTTCGAGCATCGCTCCTAGGAGACAGGATAACTTCAACTTGCTCTCCTCCCACGTTGTGGCATTAAAAGATACAATGCCCATAATTCTCGAACGGTGACGTTGTTGAAGAAGAATGTTGTCCAGTGTGTTTTTGTTCTAGTTCCACCTGTTTGTTTGCCGAAAGATTTTATTTTTTTTGTTCTTGAAACTGTTTTAATATGATGACAAGGTGGACCTTCACAAGGCTAGATTCGCTATTATTCCTGAGGCTTTTTAAAGTTTTAGAAACGCATGATGGATATGATGGAAAATATGATGGAAGGTGATCCATTGTTATTTCAAGAAGCAGCTCCCAACGTATCTCATTGCTATCCTTCTGTATACTACACGTTTTTTAAACGTAATGATCAGTAGCATTTATTTGTGATAAGATCATTTACCATTTGTTGAACACTATTGTTGTCAAAAGATCGGATTTTACCTAGCCATGAAATGCACTCTTTATCTAAATGAAAATTTGTCAAAATACAACAAAATTCATTCCGAAATTATTAAATATTTATCTAACTCTTAAAGATAAAGATTTATAAAATTAAGCATTAAGAAATATTTTTTTCGTGTCTTTTGTCGATTTTGACGTCAGCGTCATAATAGTCAAATTATGGCTTTATACATTGAATAAAATCACTCTCCTTTTTTGTGTACACTATATAGCAATTGTTTACAAATTTCTTTATATAAATTGTTGCATAAATCATTTTTATGATTTATAAGCATTTATATATCATTTCACCTAATCTGCTTTTGTTATTCATCTATTTCATATCCTAATAAAATTGATTTATAATGAAGTATAGGTTTCATTAAGAGAAAAATTGCTATTCTAGACTCTTACAGGACAAAAACGTGTTTGCGTTTGTGTATGAGATTTTTTTTTTAATTATTCAACTTTACTTACAATTCTAATTTAATCAATAGATGCGTAATAGTTTTTCGATTTTGCAAAATATAACATTTTGTAACATATTTTTCTCACTATTAAATTTAACTTTTTTTTTATTATTGAAATTTACAACTGTGTAATAATAAATACAACTAGTAAATATGAAATAAGTAATTTGACATGTACAACATGAAGAGAAACTACCCATTGGTAGCACTCCAATTAAATTTAATTAATAGCGAATTTAAGTAACTGTTTCTCTATAACTAAAGTGTTCATAATTATAAGTTTATCTTTTCTCTTTTCACTAGCGTAGATTGCGAAACTTTTATTTTTTAACATGACTGTTACCTCTTTGGAACATTGTACTCCGATATATCGCAGAGGAAGGAGGCAACTATTTAACATTAATACGTTAAAACAGAGATTACGTAAAAACTACTAATTTTGTTAAATTAATGCCTTGAAAACGTTTAACTGGCTTTGAGTTAAACCGAATGTTCCATCAGATTGTATTAGAAATTAACATGATAATTGCTATAAGTAATAACCATTCGCCGTATCAGTCTATTTGTACAGCGCAGTAGTTATAAAGAATGGGGCGTGGTCTTTTGAATTAATTATACGATTGGAATTTAAAATAAATGATTTACTATAGTAAAAACAGATCGGCTTCGGTATTGGTATCTCATTTAAAATTCAAATTTCCTGGGCATTTAAATCCGCCCAGCCGATTTATATTTTGCCAGGTCTTTTTGAAACTCTTGCCACTTTAAATTGTTTTCTTCATAGAAATTTTTAGTTAATTCATATCAAATGGTAATTATTACTATTCAAATGTTTAGTTAATGTACTATGTATAATTTAACTAAATTAGAGATGTTAAAGATTATTGATTTTGAAACAACTTGAGGAAATGAACTGTTTCTTATATCAATTTATATACACTTTTCATTATGATAAAATCAAATTAATCTTTTTCCAGTTTTGTAGAAATTAAAATTTAACTTTTTTAAAAAATATTGAATTATTCAAGAGACGAGCCTTTTACACTGCCGTAAAATAGGTATTTGTGCATCGAATTTCTATATTTACACATAATAAATCAATAAATATGACAAATATTGTTTCTATAAATGGTGCAGATTCTATCCAATGTTTTCACTATAAAATTAGAACTCCATTACATGTACATCTTTAATATTTAATATTTCATTTAATCAATATTAAGTTGATA